CATTTCGCACTAATTGAGGGGGAGATCAGGTTTAATAGGGAAAAAAAGTCCAGCGCTATGACCCTCGTGTTTTGGAAATGAATTAGATCAGAGCGAGCAGCCATTTATTTTCAGAGGGTTTCGTCCGACGACAAAACCTCAGTACGGGAGAATAAAGAAAAGGAAAACGAGAGATTGCTATGTTGTGATCGAGTCGTTTGCATACTTCTTTTGTTTCTCTTTTAGTATCATTAGTTATACTATTGTCGTTATTATCATCACTATTATTTATTTTCATCCTTGTTATCCCCATCATCATCCTTTCATTGTTGTTTGCTGCTATTATTATCATAATTTATTCTTGTTTATATATATTGGTACTAGTAGTAGTAGTACTGATGACATCATCATTATTTTCATCAATATTATTATTGTTGTTGCAATTATTATCATTATTATCATTATTACTATTATTGTTATTATCATTATTATTATTTCTTTATTGTTACCATTGTTATTATTATTATTATCATTGTCATTATTGATATTATTGTATTGCCATTGTTATTATCATTATTATTATTATTATTATTATTATTATTATTATTATTATTATTATTATTATCATTATCATTATTATTTATACATATTAATTATTATCATTTTATTTCATTATTATTTATTCATTATATCATTATTGTTATATTAGTTATTAATCATTATTATTATTATTATTATTATTATATTATTATATCATTATTGTTCTTGGTGGTGGTGGTGTTATTATCATTATCACTAATAATCAGTCTTATTATTATTAGCAGTAGTAGTTGTATTTCATTATTAGTTTCATTTTCCTTGTTATTATTTTTGATATCATCATCATCATCATCATTTTTATTTCTATTATTATTGTCAGCAGTAGAAGTAGTAGTAATGATAATAATGATAGTAGTTACCATCACCCTTAATACTATTACTGTTATTCAAATGTCGCAGTTTTGCAAAAATGCTTAGCAAGTGCATGAAAGTTTGTATTTTCAGTAATTATTTTCTTTTCTTATGCTGAGATAATGTTTGTTAAAGATGACAATGGCAATTAAGATATATATGATATTTTGAATAATAAAACTTATCACAGATAATACCTGACAAAAAAAATAAGATGATAAGATAGGGCAATAACTTTTCCCCTGTTTTACTTGTGTTTATGAACGAAAAAAAAAAAAAGAGAAAAAAAAGTGGGCAAGAAGAGAAGAGAAAGAGGTTGCCGGCCTAAAATTTATTAAGGATGTTAAGGCATAAAATAATGGTACCTCTTTGCATCCCAAGGTGAACATAATACCGTAATCCTAGATATATCAACGTTAACACGATAATGAGCAGTTGCTGAATATAAGCTATGATTATATCCTAAAGTACACTAAACCATGTGTTTAAAAAAATTGTTTAACCCCGCACCCGAATCCGCTTGTGCTGTATTTATTTTTAGTCTTTTTTTCTCCATTCTCTCTCTCTCTCTCTCTCTCTCTCTCTCTCTCTCTCTCTCTCTCTCTCTCTCTCTCTCTCTCTCTCTTTCTCTCTCTCTTCTTTCTCTCTCTCTCTCTCTCTCTCTCTCTCTCTCTCTCTCTCTCTCTCTCTCTCTCTCTCTCTCTCTCTCTCTCTTACAGACACACAGATACAAAAACAAACAAACACTCGGATCGTGAAAAGAATCACAACAGACGCACGGGCACCTACACCCCCCCTCCGCCCACTCCTCACCCCCCCACCCCCCCCCACCCCTCTCAAGGTCTGTACAGATTTAAAACTTCGCTTCGCTCGGGTCAGCTGGCGTTGGTGTGAGCGGCGACCGTGCCTCACTCTGCTGGGAATCTGTCTTACTTTAACTTTTTGCTGAACGTGAGCCGAATCCTGTGTTCCCCCTCCCCCACCCCACCCCACCCCTTCACCTCCTCCCTGTTCTCTCCCCGTTCTCTTTCTCTCTTCCTTCCTCTTTCCCTTTTCCCTTTACATTCTTTCGTCCTTCCCTGCCCCCTTCCTTTCCTTTTCTCTACTCTCCCTTCCTTTCACCCTTCCCCTTCCTTTCTTCTCATCCTTCCCTTTCTCCTACCTCTCCTCTCCTCTCCTTTCACTCTTCCCCCTTTCCTTTTTCCTCCCCCTTCCCCGTCCCTGTCCACTCCCCTCCACTTCCCAGTCTCGTCTCTCTCTCTTTCTCTCTCTCTCCTTTCTTTTCCTCCCTCCCCCCCCCCCCCCTTCCCCGCACCCCCTGTAGCACGCCTTCTGCAGTTCAATGTTGCAGATTTTGTTGTTACTTGAGTTGTTTTGTTGAGTACTTTCCCTGTTGTCCTTCTGTGCGCCTTGTATTTTTCTTTTGTTTTGGATTTTTCGACTGAGTATGAAATCTTCTGTTTGTTATATCGTTTTCTTTTATGTCGTTTCTTCCGTGCCTTTCATATTCCCCCTCAAATTCCTCGTCTATTTTTCTAATTCTTTTCCCCTCTTCTTTTATTTTCATTTT